ATAAGGCATCTCCAAACTTAATGGTTCGCTTTTGTTACTTCTCAAACCACTCCCTCTGACATTTTGCCAGGCACCATCCAGACTTGTTTACGAACTCTAACATTTCTCTGGCAAAATACCAGGTGTTATTTTTGACTTATTTACAGACCTTAACAGGCTTTGATCTTGCTATCCTCTTGCCTCAGCCTCCCAAATCTCTGGGATTATAGGCGTGTGCCACCCTGCTCAGTTCTGCCAGTAGACATTCAACTCTGTAGTTGGCAGAGTTATTTATTTTTTTGATAGTGCTGGGAATTAAACCCAGCACAGGCTAGACAAGTGCTCTACCACTGAGCTATATCCCAGCAGAGTTGTATTTAATTTACTGGAGATTGAACCCAAGGCTACTTTATTACTGGTGTGGTGGTGCCTTCTCGTAATCCCAGATATTCAGGAAGCTGGGATAGGAGGATCAAAAGTTTGAGGCCTGCCTAGGCAATTTAACAAGACCCTATCTCAAAATAAAATTTTAAAAAAGGCCTGAGGATGTAGGATATATATATCTCCTAGTTTTCCTTCTCTCTCTCTCTCTCTCTCTCTCTAAGTAAATGGTGATCTCTTATTTTCCTTTGGAGTAAAAGAAGTTACTCTGCCTTTGCATTGAATAAATGGAATATAACTTTCTATTGATATTATCTGGATTTCTAAAGATGTAAGCAAGGCTGGCCATTGGCCAGGCTGTGAAGTAGAGCTTCTCTCTGCTTAGCACTTTACCTAGTGGCCCACTGCATTCCTACTGCCCTGGCGCGTGTATATATATATATATATATATATATATATATATATATATATATATATATATATATCCTTATAATTAACCTTTTGTTAAAGTAAGAATGTTCACCATAGTCTGATCACTGTGACCAGTTCTAGTCCTGACCTAGCTCATGACTAGTAGCTATGAGTAAGACAAATGACCTCTCTTGCTTCAATTCCATCACATAAGAAGGATGAGTTCTAGTACCCCATATTAGGGCTCTTTAACAAAGTGTCACAAACTAGGTGGCTTACCAGAAATTGTCTCATTGTTTTGGTTGCTTAGAGTTTAAAACAGGTGCAGGCAGGGCTGGTTCCTTCTGAGGGCTGAGGGACAATCAAACTTGTAATCCCATGCCTCAGTTTCTCTAGTAGTTGTGTGTAGGATGTTTCTAAGAAATCTAGGGAGACTTGGGACATTGTCCTCTCCTTAGCTATATTTGTTATAAGTGTGTCTCTAATCATTCTCTAATTTCTTTTTCTTTTTTTAGCCAGACTGTGATCGATATAGGTTACCAGGATGTCCTAGGGACTTTAACCCTGTGTGTGGAAGTGACATGACCACTTATCCCAATGAATGTACTCTGTGCATGAAAATCAGGTAACATGATTTTAAAACTGTAGACTAGCCAAGTTTTCTTCATTTCTTTCTTTTTAATTTGGTGTGTGTGTGTGTGTGTATGTGTGTGTGTGTGAGTTTGTAGTGCTGAGAATTGAACACAGTACTTTGCACATGATATGCAAGTACTCTACCACTGAATTATATCCCCAGCCCTTTTTATTTCAATTTTTATTTTATATTTTTATTTTAAGATAGGCTCTTGCTAAATTGCTGAGGTTCTTGCTAAATTGTTGAGACCAGCCTTGAACTTTTGATCCTCCTGTGTCGGTCTCCTAAATCCCTGGAATTATAGGCATGTGCCACCATGCCCTGCCCATTTCTTTTCTTTAATTTTGATTCCTTGAAGGTAGTGACTCTTTCCTTGGATGTAAGAGTCAAATGTGACATAAGTAATCCTCAGTCTTCAGAGTGACATTTAAGAAGATGTAAAATCATCAGTGCATTTTCTAGGTCAAAGTTAGAGAATGAGGTTAATGATTAATCAACTGAACATCAGATATTCAAGTTATCATGGATGCACAATTTTCCCAAATTAAGAATATATTTAAGAGCCAGGCGCTGTGGTGCATGCCTGTAATCTCAGCAGTTTGGGTGTATGCCTGTAATCTCCTGAGGCAGGAGGATCACAAGTGCAAGGCCAGCCTTGGCAACTTATCAAGGCCCTAAGCAACACAGTGAGACTCTACATGTGGGAAATAAAAAAAATGGAGCGAGGAGGCTGGGAATTTGGCTCAATGAATTAGTGCCCCTGGGTTCAATCCCTGGTGCACACGCACACACACAGGCGTGCGCACGTACACACACACACACACAGGCGTGCGCACGTACACACACACACACGCACACGCACACACACACGAATATATTTGGGGGGCTGTAGCTCAGTGGTAAAGCACTTGCCTAGCATTCTCGAGGCTCTGGGCTTGATCCCCAGCACTGCACACACACATAAACAAAAATATATAATAGTTGGAATATTATATTTTCTTTTAAATTTAGAGGAGAGGCACAGGTGACCTGCACATCTGTACTACTAGTTGGGAAGTAGGATTTACTAACTACTTGGTAGAATGTAAAGAATATGTTACTTGTGGCTGGAGTTGTGGCTCAGTGATAGAGTGCTCGCCTAGCATGCATGAGGCACTGGGTTCGATCCTCAGCACCACATAAAAATAAAATAAAGATATTATGTCCACCTAAAACTAAAAAATTAATATGAAAAAAAAGAACGTGATACTTGATGCCCTCCATGTAACACATCTGACCACCCCCCTTCACCCCCCACTTTTGGTATGCTTGTTTGTATAGCAAAGGTACATTCTGTGACCTCAGGCTTCACCAAGTAATCTCCCTCCGTCTTCTCAGAGTGTTCCTAGGGGCTAGTGCCCTGTGCTCTCGGGTTAGGGGGGAAATGGCAAAGTGCAGATGGTGGAGACTTTCACCTTCTGTTTCCTAGATTTATCTTAAAACTATAAATATAGAGCAAATATAGCTCTGGAAAGAACATAATATATGATGATATGGGTCTTTTTAGCACAAAGAGTTTAGCATGATAGGTAATGATATTGTTCAATTTGCAGGGAGGATGGTCATGATATCAAGATCATCCGAAGTGAGGCGTGCTGATGGGGCGGTCTTTGGAAGAGAGGATGCATGAGACCGCCTTCCTCCACGAATAAATCCCCTCCCCCCTTTCTCTTTTCCTATGCTTCATCACCTCACCTTTTCTGAGAGGAGGTGTGGAAGAAGAGCTATGTGTATTGATGGCTAATTGTAAGAATGTCTTGTTCTTTGCTTTTGCCCTTCAGCTCAGCCAACTGCCCAGGTGACTTGTGCATTGCTTCCTTTAGTTGGAATAAATCAGCATTGAATTCAGCGACTGCTGTTTTGCATTTGTGTTCATCAGCTTTGTGTCGCTGCGACCAAAATACCTGATGAGAACAGTATTAAAGATGAAAAGTTGAGGTGGGGGTTGTGGCTCAGTGGTGGAGCACTTGCCTAGCATGTGTGAGGCACTGGGGTTCAATCCACAGCACCACATAAAAATAAATAAATAAAATTAAGATATTGTGTCCATTTACAACTAAAAAACAAACAAACAAAAAAAAAGATGAAAAGTTTATTTTGGCTTATGGTTTCAGAGATGTTAGTCCATCTCAGCCAATTCCATGCTTTGGGCTTGAGGTGAGGCCCAGCATCATGGAGGAAAGTTGCTGAGCTCAGCAGGGTCAAGAAGCCGAGAAGAGAGTGTTCAGGGGCTGCAGGTACACCCTCTGAGAGCACACTCCCAGTGACCCATCTCCTCCAGCCAGGCTCCTTCCTACAGTCACCACCCAACCAATTCATTCAAACTAGGGTGGACTGATCAGGTTACAGCTCTCAAAATTCAATCATTTCACCTCTGAATATTCCTGCACAGCATAACACTATTAAAAATGCTTCCCCAGTGTAGGGGAGGCAAAATTTTATCTCCATTGGGCCTGAGAATTAAACATAAGACCAATCAACAGGAGAAAAACACACATATTTAATATGAATTTTTTTGTGGCATGAGAACCTTTATATGGAAATGACCCAAAGATGTGGTACTGAGCATTTACATACTAAAGTAGACAAAGAGTAATGAATTATGAGACTAGGACAAGGTTAAGGGGACCTGGGCTGGGGTAGTTAGTTAATTGGGTGGCAAGTACCTAGGAAGATAAGGATTAGTCTAACAAGGTTTGTTTGTATAGACTTCCCCTGGCCCCAAATTCTTGTCCTTGATAAGAACATTACTTTCCTTTTGGAACAGGCCATGTTTCATATGGGAATTTCATCTGCTTTTGAGAGACAGAAGGAAGGTCCCACCTGCTGTCTCTAAAGTGCCTTTAACTCAGAACAGCTAATATGCCAGAGCAGCACCTTTGGGGTGGCATGTCCTCACCTCGATCACTCAGCCACCTCACAGTGGTCCTTTCATCCCAGGCAAACGTGAATTTCACTACATGACAAGTAGGGTCATTGCTGAGAGGACAAGACTGATCCCCTTGTTCCTTTCCCTGATTCCTGGATAACTAGTTTGTGTGTAACTGGTCCAGTGTTCCTCACGTGGCAAGAAACCATGAGCTGACATTAGCTTAAGCTGGTAAAGTAAAAAATCATTAAAGTGAAAATTTTTATTAGTTTCAAAAATCTCCCATCAATTCAATTTTCTTCTAGGATGATACAGGAATTTGGCCTTTTCCTCTTTTTTAGAGTGCTGGATCTCAATCCAGGGTAATTTCTCATCCAGAGAACATTTGTGGTGTCACATTTGAGGTATGGGTGCCAACATCTCCTGGGTAGAGTTCAGAGTGCTTCTACACATCTTACAATGCACAGCACCGCCCCCACTAACAACTTTCCAATCTAAAATGTTAGCAGTGCTGAGGCTGAGACACCTGTTTTAGAGTTTGGCACTGCATAATCAATAAAATTTTTCTTTTTAATAATTATTCTTTAGTTGTAGTTGGACACAATACTTTTGTTGTTGTTGTTGTTTATTTGTATGTGGTGCTGAAGATCGAATCCAGCGCCTTGCAGGTGCTAAGTGAGCACTCTATTGCTGAGCCACAACCCCATCCCACAATAAATGTTTTATAACAACAATAAAAGTAGCCAGGGGTTAATTTAGAATGATAGTGTTTTTTGGGTAGTGCATTGTAACACCAGGAATGGTGAGACATGAAGCAAGAGGTAGCTGGGAGGGCAACATTGCACAAACATCATGACTTTTGGGGAAGTGGTCAGCTAATTTCAGAATCATTCTGATTCCAATACCCTAGCTTCAGTTTTCTTATCTGGAAAATGGGGATGATGCTTAGCTCATGGAATCGTTGTGAGGAAACTGCATAGTGCTTGGCACATGGAAGCCACAGAAATGGGAGCTTCTGCTGTTTTAACAATCCCTCTTAGAGCCTAGCATGGTGGCCCACGCCTGTAAACCCAGCTGCTCTGGGGGTTGAGGCAGGAGGGTCACAAATTCAAAGCCAGCCTCAGCAACTTGGTAAGGCCCTAAGCAACTCAGTGAGAACCCTTGTCTCTAAAAAATATAAAAACTGGCTGGGGATGTGGCTCAATGGCTAAGCACCTCTGGGTTCAATCCCTGGTACCAATGAACAAACAAATAAATCCCTCTTAGAGAAGAAGAAACAGGTACACAATGGCAAAGAAATTTGACCAAGAATGAACATAATGAAAACAGTCTGGACTAGAAACCTGGTTCTTCAAATTTCCAGTCCTCTGTTTTCACATATACCAGAGACAATGAAGTGGGAAATGATACAGCATAAAAGTGCCAAAAGTAATGTCCTTTAAATTTCTGGCTTACAAGTTTGGTAGAAGTAGTGTATGCTTTCTGGATACTTTAAAAATTTACAGAATTCAAAATTATTAAAATTAAAAATGAAAGAGTAACATAAAATGAAGTGAATAGTAATTTAAAAACTAAAAAATGAGAAAGTTGCTAAACTCTCCCAGTGTATGTGTATAAAAAATCACACACATGCACACAAACTTGCCCTGTAAATTTGCTTTTCCCCTTAAATATTGGGTCTGTTTTCTTATCCATATATGTCATTGTTTTTTGTTATTTATTTATTTATTGGTTCTGGGGATTAGGGGATTGAGTTGAGTTGCTTGCTGAATTACTTAGGGCCTTACCAAGTTGCTGAGGCTGGCTTTGAATTTGTGACCCTCCTGCCTCAGCCCCCAGAGCAGCTGGGTTTACAGGCATGGGCCACTATGCTAGGCTCTAAGAGGGACTCTTAAAACAGCAGAAGGTACCATTTTTGTGGCTTCCATGTGGCCTTGCATATGTTGAGTATTCACTCTATCACTGAGCCATACCTCAACCTAGTTTCTTCTTTTTGTCTATACCCATTATTTTTTTATTGTGCCATACTTTATCTAATATCTATTGATCTGTATGTATTTAAGTGGTTCAATAGGATTCACTTGGTTGGAAGTGTGAAAATCCCAACTCAAATTAGGCTGAATTGAAGATGGACTTAATTAGCCCTGATGAAGCAGAATGACTAAGGGCATGGACTTGAAGTCAGAGGTGTGCACTCACTGGCCAAGTTGCTTTTTGACCCAGTTTGCTCATCTGTAGAGTGAGGAAGACAATGGTGTTTTCCTTGTACTGTTGTTGAATGTTAGAAATAAATCACCAGGTCAGTCTTGAAGCAAGACATGGAGCTTTTTTTCCTCTGGCACATCAAGGGGCAGTGATCAAGTTGCCTCAGCACATCTTGACCTCTTGAAGAAGGTAGGGTATCTTTTTATAGCCCTAAACTGATAGCTACCAGCAAGTCAAAACCATAGCACATAGGAAGTGGGTCAGAATGACCCAGTTCGGGGTACAGTACACTGACCAAGAAAAATGGGAATTAAAATGAGAACATCTTACAAATGCATTTCTTAGGAATACATTGTATAAGAATAACAGGAACATTTTTCAACTGCCATGCATTGACAAATAGTGTGTGCTTAGCAGGAGGTGGCAGAGGCAGGGTTTTAACACGGGAGAAGCATTTCTTATATGAAATGGAGTCTCAGGGTAAAAGGAGTTTGTCTGGTCAAGGTACATATAGTTTGGTCCATAACAATAAGGTTGTTGTGAGGATTCAATATGACAACACATGTGACGTGCTTGAAACACACTTGAAATGTTGGTTATATTACAGAAAACTGTCCTTTAAAATTTTTTTTTCCCTCAGTCTTAGTGATTGAACCCTCATGCATGCAAAGTAACCACTCTACCACTGAGTTATAATCCCAGTTCTTAATTTCCTTTCTTCTTTTTTTTTTTTTTTTTTTGCTGTATCTTTTTATTTTTATTTTGAGACAGGGTCTCATTAAGTTGCTTAGGGCCTTGCTGACTTTGAACTTGAGATCTTCTTGCTTCAGCCACCCCAGTTGCTGGGATTACAGGCTTGTACTACTGTGCCTGGCCTTAATTTGCTTTTGGTCAACAATACTTCATGGAAAATTTTCCATGTCAGTATACATAGCTGTACTTTATTTTTAAAAAACTCACATACTATCCTATAATATATAGACATATCATTACTTATTTATTTAATCCTGTATGGCATTTATTTCTCATTTTCACCATCACAAATAATGTCACAATAACAGCTTTGTACACATATCCTCCTTTATTTGTGCAAATATTCTGCAGGATAAATTCATAAGATTGGAATTATTTAATTAGAACTTAGGTTTAAAACATTGGAGGACATTGCAAATGAGTGTCTGTTTCTTCTTTCCACTATTATTATTTAATAGAAGCAGTACCACCTGTCACTTGCTTAGTCAGAGTTGTACTGCAAACCCAGATTTGTATCCATCCTTTATTGACTAATTTCTTTTTCCATTAAGAATGTTCACATTATAAAAGTGATATATGCTAATCATAGTTACCTAAAGTAAATCATGAGAAATATAGTTCAGCAGTCCATGGGGAGTTCTAGAACAGAAGTCCCCTGAAGACAAGAGATCTTGGCCAGGCAAGGTGGTGCATGCCTGTAATCCCAGTGGCTTGGGAGGCGGAGGCAAGAGGATCATGAGTTGAAAGCCAACCTTAGCAATTTAGTGAGGCC